GCTTACGTTCGCTGTTGCGAAAGTTTAAATTTTTATAATGTTGTCTGTTATCTGTTTTTGTGATTGGTACATATCTTACTCCTAGGAGCATTAGTTTGTCTAGTTGTGTGCTGCGTTTAGGCCTGTATTTCTTTTATTCGCTTGGGGTGCTAATTCTTGGACCATCATCAGATCAGCATAACTACAAGAAAGTTACTTCGCATATGAGGCCTGGTCAACCACCTATTCGACACCTCTCCATTAATTTTATAAGGACGAAACTCCGAAAAGTCAAAGCTGCTATAGGATGGCTCTAAGTGGCTCAAGTGTGAACACATTTGCCTGTTCAGACGTGATAATTCAGATGCGTCCAACGTGCGTTGGTGAAGTAGTGGTTAAACGCTCGTCTAGCATGTCAGATTTCCGGGGTTCAAATCCCGGCACGGCAATTGGATATGCCCTGCGGATTCGCTCTAATAAGAACAAAACTCGAGTCCGGTGGTTCCCTTTATGTGGAGTCACCGGAATAACCAGACCAGAACAGGAACACGGCCGTTCAAACGAGAGTGCTGTGGCTGTGAACAAAATACCTATCCCACAAAACCCCAAAATTGAAATAAAATAAAAGAACACAACTCACTCAAGTCGGCATTGACGATGTTTTACGATTGGTGATAAAACTTCTGCAATTTAACCGCAGGTCTAGGCAAACAGATTGATAACCAAAGGCTCAATATATTGAGAATGTTTTACATCTAGCACGATCCAATTCGAATTCCAGCGTCAGTGTATCAGTAGCGATCGTCCAAAGATGAGTTCCACTAATGATACTCCCAAATTTTCGAGTAGCTAATGCTCAGCTAACTATTGTGTGCGATCTACCTGCAACTTCAACGTCTGGAAACCTGTCATGTGGTTCATAATGAACGTCCCAAAAAATAAATACCTAATAGAACGCGGTAATTCGTACCACACAAGTGTGCCTTACAAGACGAAAATGCAATACCTTTGAGAAATTACCCATTTGTTTGTTAGGGGCTGGCCCTACAAGTAGTATATTTTCGAGCTCCGGTTATAATCGAGTTAGATTATTGTGATTCCTCGTCCATGGCTATTTCGGACATACGAAAAGCTATTTCAAATTAAATTATCTGCAAATTGAGTTTCTTTACACAGGTTCTATACTTTAGGCGAGTCTGAGAAACAAAAATGTAACGAAAAAATTTTGCTATAAGTTTCATGTGGTGAGAGTACATGGATTTGAGAAGTACTAATCGTAACGTATGCGGTAAGTACATTGTCGAAAAAATATGACGTGTGTAGTTGTCTTCTACGGAGGGTTAATAGTCGAACCGGGTTTTGAGTTTGCTGGTAGATGAGCTAATGGAGGTTCAGTGGAGTTCTCAAGTAAAGATTCCAACAAAGTTCAGTCCCAATATTGCTCATGAAATCGCTCACCAAAAGATAGCTTCCCACTTTCAAATTAATGCTTTAAGAAACGCAACGGGGAACGGTCATCTATGTTGGCCTGTTTTATAGGCCGGTGGGTTACATTGATAGCGCATTTCAATGTAGAGATGTAAGAAGAAGAAGCAGGCACCACTTGTTTGGCTATGGTTAAATTGGATTCAGGGCGATAGGCTGATGGTGAATCAGTTAGAGTGATTATTCTGTTTACTTTATCCAAGGGGAACTTTAACGTAACTGGGTTGATATAGTCATATGTTGGAGTTGAAGACCTTCAGCATTTCTGTATAAGCTCGTCTCGTTAAAAACAAAGAATTAACCAATTCAAGTGAGTTCCAGAAGTCAAAAACCTACTGGGGGACCCATCCACAACGAGACTTGGAAACAAAATACAAACGTTAGAAAGAAGGGATTTGGAGAATATTGTTATTTTCCGAGAGGGTTGAGGGACCAAGCTTACTAGATTTTTAAATTGGTCGGAGAAAGACGCATGACAACATTTGTGAAAACCTGGCAATAAAGTTTGCAAGAACTTACAAAAAAGACTTCTTTATTGTAAGAAATAAATCTGCTATTTGTAGAATATACACGGGCAATCAAGTGTACCAAATATGCAGCTATTCAAAGTTATTTCCGGTTAAGCGCCATTCATAACTCCTGATGATTTCTGCACCTAAGAAACTTCAGCACTTTAAAACAAAACTTCAAAATGTCTTAGAATAGGTCACCCATGATATAACAAACACCACTGAGTCTCGAATCCGTGATATTACCTGCATTGGTTTCGCTGAGCAGGACATCTTTCAATAAAATTATCTCATAATTCCAAGCAAGACATCCAATAAACCACCTTAAAATTAGGACCAAAGTGTTAGGATGAATATCATGTGACATTGTATGGAATACGAAGCAGGTTTTCCCTAAATATGCTATTGTGCATCTTATAGGCTAACTGGTACACATAGAAACTTGATTTTTTTATTCGGGTGTAAAAATAAACGAGAACTTTCCAGAGAAAATGCTCGAAAACAAATATTCGTGTACCCAATTTAGCAAACCTATGAATTATGGAAGGTGACAGTTTTTACGAAATTTAATACATTTTAATTTTAGTAATGTTTGTTACCACCGAATTATCAAAATTCACGGAGGACTGAAATTTGAAGCAAAAAAACACGTCCTAGTTGAAAAGCCAATGCAGTATCGAATAATTCGTTTGATCCCCAATGTGCTGACTGTCTGACGAGCGTACATTATTCATTTCTAATTTGATTCCCATTAAAAACTAGCATCATAAGTGTGTAGAGTATGCGTAGCATTCTTAAATTCTATGGACTACCGAGCAAACCAGCTGTCGTCAATTTGTCAGACAACTTGTTCATTTCCATATTTGATTTATTGCGAGCTTCAGCACTGGAGAACTTTGAGTTTCTTACGCAAACCATTTTGCATTTGTAATGAGAAAATTAATTGAATATCCAGCTTTTTTCTGCAGTTTGTATGACATAACTCCGAAACCAATACACTGGACTGCACGAACTTTGAGTTTCTTACGCAAACCATTTTACATTTGTAATGAGAAAATTGACTGAATATCCAGCTTTTTTCTGCAGTTTGGATGACATAATTCCGAAACCAATACACTGGACTGCATTATCTAAAATAACTTCCGTCCATTTGACTGATGTTTGCTGCAGGTTAGTTTGTGATAA